CCCGCGGTTTCCTGGTGTGTCCTACCTGGTGGATCTCCCTGGCAGTGCCTGCTGCTTTGGGGGACCTCAACTTAGGTGACAGGCATGTGGCTTGGGGCTCTTATTCCTGGAGATCCCAGCGCCCTTTCTATAGGAAGGGGCAGAGAGACTCGCTCTCTCTTGGCTGCCCTTGGGTGCACTGTGGTTAGGGCATCGTGTGGCAGCGTGGTGCGGGTGGCCGCTCCTCACTGCGAAGTTTTCCTGGATTGTCTCAGGAGAACGTTGCAGCATCAGCTCATCCTTTCCACGCCACTTTGCTTTCCATACAAATTGATTAAGCAATAACATTAATTGAAATGTTCTGCGCGGAGCACGTGAAAAGAGGATTTCACAGGCAGCAGCGATGGTCCTTGTATCTCATCTGGCACGGTGACCATTCCCGCTTGCGGTGTTGCAGCCCCGTCTGAGGGAGCCCAGAACCTGCTAGTTTAGTTTAGGCTGAGCCCTAGAGGACCCGAGGCCCCACGTGTGGGTGGCGTGAGGGGGCTGAGCGCGTTGGGAGGCCCCACGGAGCACAGAGGGTTTTGCTTTCCTGTCCATCCCCGTACTGACGTCCGGGCTGAATGCACATGGCTGGACGCGGGGCTCCATAAGGAGGCAATTTGCGAGCGGACGTGTTAGCTGGACTGACATGGTGAATTTATTCCCATCGGCTGCGAGCCTTGCCGGGGAACACTCCTGACAGAAACCCAAAGCTCAGGCTTGAGGGGCTGCTGTGAGCGGGAGGAGGAATTTCCTTATGGTGCCACCTGCATAATAACCTGCAACTTTCCTTTTGATGTACTTTCAGCGCAGTTGCTATGGAAGTATATAAAGAGATTAGTGCTGTTTGGGTAATCTATAACTTGAACTGTTCTGAGGATTTTCTTACTCTCATTCATTAACCTTTATGGGAGCAGTTGTCAAATGTGCACTGCTGGAATCATCTTTGCCACCAGCAGCTGATCTGTTTCTTGGCAGAAAGTGTAGCATGGGAATAAGAAACACTCGAGGAGATAATCAGTGCAACCAAAATGGTGGTTTGCTGATTTTTTTTTTCCCTTCATCTTAATATATATATATATATTTTAATTGACAATCCCACGACAGTGAGGGAAAAACATGTATTAGTCTACATGTATTCTGAGCAACGTGTATGACTCTCAGCCCTCTTTCAAACGCCTCTGGCAGATCAGGTGCTTCCCTCGACGCACATTTCACTCTGGAGTTTTGCAGTGGGATTGACCCAGCATTACCACAAATCACTGCAAGCAAAAACTCATGTAAAACGAGGGGAGAAAAGGAGCCTCAGAAACCCTGAGCTGGGTCTGCCGTGAGCTGTGACTTATTTGAGGCTGTTTTCTCTGGTTTTGTTAATGTTTTCAGTGAAATTCTCGTACCTGAAAAGGGCTCTTTAAACTCATTCCCTCATGTTGCTTCCATTCATGCATTTGAGATGTAAAACCCCCTTTTTCATGCATTTCCTAAAATCTACTTTAAAATTGGATAGATTTTGTAGCTCCATGTTAATCAGAAGGGTATTCCAAAATTTTCTGCGAGCTACAGCTAATTAGTGCCTATAGTCAATCCTAAAGTGCGCTAAAAAGCAATCCAGGGTATCAATAATATCACTTAATTACCAACGCTGCTGAAGAGCTTCCAGGATTTCATTTACCCTAATAAACTGCCTTTTATTGAACCATTTCAGGTTGTCTTGCAGAAAGTCGAAATGTTTCTGTGCCTTTACAAAACGCCTCCACCTGTAAGAGCCACCAACTGATACTCGTGTGGATATTTGTGGTGCCTCAGCCTCACTCCTAGCTCTAGATAACACTCCCTGCCTGGGTAATCTGGGATTAGGGATTTTTGATCTCTTTGATACTGAAATCCCCTAGTTAGAAACTGGGTCCTTTCACACTGGGTTGCTCAGCTAATATTGCACCTAATTTGCCAAGTTTCAGCTCTTTTTGCTCTCCTTCCTGCTCTCTCAATGCTGAGCTAATCCATTTTGTGACCGTGCTCACTGTGGTCTATGCAGGTCTCCTGACCAAGTTTCAAAATGTTCTGTATAGCCATATTCCCACTTTCCACGTACCTTACTCCAGTTTAGTTTTTGTATTGTGTCCTAGCAATTTTCTTCTAAATTCTCATTTGTGTTGATCAATTTGGAAGCTTGAGCAATGATTGACTTGGTGAATAACTCTATTTTCATTAAACCTGTAGCTCTGAATCAGAGATTACAACTGTTTTAAATGAGAAAGAGACCGAGAGGCTTTATATAGATGTTCTCCTCCTAGAATGAAGTGCCTGGAGTGTGTGGACAAGCCATTTTGTACTTTCATTTTGCAGATGTCAGAAAAGCATTTTATCTTCCGGAGCGGTAAAAAGGAGAGCGGATTGTGCAGCGAGTTGTACTAAGTGCTGTCAGGCACCTTTCTCTTGGCATATGGAAACTGTATTTCTTTTTTCAGGCTATGTTGGTTCCTCCTGGCCCTTTCCCTTCTCGGAGGAAATCTGAAAACGCCGTGGGGATCTCACATACTGTCCTCTTACACAGAAGGTACCACCACCATTCCCAGGCTGTGGGGAAGAAAAGTCTTTCCTTGCCCTGAACGCCGTTGCTGGAGGCAAAATGGGAGAAAAAATAACGTGAGCTCCATGCTGGAGTTGGTTGGCAGGATGATTCATGGTAAATTACGGGAGATATCCTGCTAAATTCATCCGCTGTGTGTTCAGAAGGCACTAACGCTCTAGGCCAGGGCTTGCAAATTAGTCACACAAATGCCAGTCGGCTTCAGACTTCATAAATGGGCTTTGTTTGGATACTGCAGCATTAGCCAGGAGGGGCAGCTTTGCAGCCTTTCATTTTACTGCAGCATTTGGGAGAGACTCTGCCCCGTGGTGGGAGTGAGTCACAGGGGCACTTTGGGGCAGGACTTCTAGCTGAAGAAACTCCATTTTGCATATTTTTCAAAGCAAATATATTTGAAAATTTAGTGGAGAAAGAGCAGAAGGTCAAAGCTGCTAATCAAACGTTAAAAATCCCAAACCTTGTTCTTTTAACAAAAAAAAAGATAAATTTTCTGTAGCTTGTCATCATAGGAGGCAGGTGCATGTGGTAGGTTGCTGCTTGTTTCTCCAAAAAGCCTATTTAGGTGCTGAAGTTGCAGAGTAAAGTTATTTTACATTTTACTGTTTTCTGCTACTTTCCCTTCACATAATTTCCGAGTAAAATAATTCCCTTTGGCTGATGGATTCGGGGAATTTGGCTGTCACATTCGAAGTGTGACATTTGCTAACGCATACTAATAGGCTTTAAATGCGCTGCTGCAAGTTTTCAAGTGATTTTTTTAGTGTTGAGGTGGAGCACTAATATCTCTTTGCTAGAATCTATTGCCCTCAGAGCCAACATTTTGAAGTTCAGTAATATTTGTCACTACATACCCCTTGCACTTGGATCACTAAGAGAAAACTAGCGTGCTTTATAGTCCAGCACTTGTCCAAAATAGCTTTAAAAAAAATAATAGATTTTAGAGCACTGCACTGCAAAAGGTAAAGAAGTGTTGGAGCAGGTGAATAGCCGAGGTGCAGGCAAAGGGGAGCTGCAGAGCCCAGGGTTCCCGTTTCATTGCAGGGGTTTCTCGGTCTCGGCCGGTGCTGCCCGTTCGGGCCGCAGCGTTGCCTGCGTTTCCGCAGGGCAGCGGGGGCTCTGGGGACCCGGTGGGAGGTGGAGAGCTCTTCCAGGATGAGGAGCCGGCTGTTTGGTGGACGTGCTGGGCAGCGCGAGGGTTTCCTCAGGCTGCAGCTCGAGCGTGACCCGTGCGCGTGTTGGTGCTGCCGGCGGGAACGTGGCTGCCCCTGCTCTCATGTGGCTGAGGTGTTGGGTTGTGAGCACCGTTTGCAAGTCAAAGCGTGGTTCAAATGCCCGTGCTGTTATAAAACACCATTTTCCTAATGTTATACTATTTTGCTCCTCGTTATTAAATCATCCTTGGGGAGTCGTGGCTTGGGTTTCGTGCTGCGGCTGCTTCGCAGTGGAGACAACAAGGTCCCGGTTGTGGGGCTGCCTTGCTCACGGGCCTGCATCCAAAGGGGACTGACCCGCATCCGTGTCCCACCGTGAAAGCAGGGTTCTCAATTAAAAACAGATGGTATTTTTGTTTGCCAGGCAGCAGAGCATGGAAGCCTTTTAGCAAAGAACAAATGCAAACCACTAAAATGACATTTTCATGGTCTCTTGACCACAGCCATACTTTGAGCTCTTTAATGATGCTCCAAGTTAGCAGTGCAAATTATATGCTGTGTTTGTATTTATAAGTGGTGATAAATTGCTAATCATATCAGCGATTAGCAGGCAGCTCACCTGATGAAAGGAGAAGTCATCAGACGGCTTCTGCAGGCTGTCATCTGCTCGAGAACAAATATGTGCTGTGCAGAAAGACACTAACTTCAGCCCGAATAATTGGAGCAAATGTAGATGAGAGCTGTGTGGCTGCTGGAGGTCCCCTCCGCTGTCGCTCTCGGAGGGCTCTCTTGCAAATCGGATCTGTAATGGATATTATGCAGATTTGAAAGAAAAATTGAAACGTGACCTTTTTTTTTTTTTTAATCTGCTTTTGATGTTACGTTCGGCTTCTTTCATCTCGGAGGATAAAAGTAATTGAACAATAATCCCAAAGAGAGTCAAATATACAAATCAATAAACTGTTCCCACAGGAGGGAGTTTTGTTTTGCTGAGTGCACTGGTACCCGACGTGTCCCCGGCCTGTTTGGCTGTGCCTAGGTGGTCGGGTACGACTTAATGCAGCTGTCTGGGTCAGAGAAAGCAGTGAGCAAGGCAGCTCTGCTCTGCGGATATCCCAGACAGGAGCAGCTCTCCACTGCCCTTGATCAGCATCCTGAATTGGAGTTGGCTTTCGAGAGCCAGTCGCTGTCTTCCCATTCCCGTGCCGGGACCGCGCGGGGCCAGCGCTGCACGTCGCATGCACAACCCGCCTCCTGACCCATCCCAGCACGGAGGCACCTGCAGTGCCCTTGGGGACAGGCTTCAGAGAGGGATTCTGGAAACTGGGAAGGAAGAGAAAGCGTTCGGGTAAGCCTTGAGAGAATGGAGCTGAGAGCGTGCCAGGTTTGTAGAGACTGGCGTTTGCAATCTCCTACTTCTTAAGCGAAATTGTGGCCATGTGGGGAGCAAAGCGAATCTAACCTGTCTTTGACAGGACTGTTGCTGTTTCAGTAGCAAAGCTGTTTCTTTTTTGCCTTTCCGCCCCGAGCAGAAGGAAATCACACGCAGCTAGAGGACACCCAGCAGTCAGACTTCCCTCAGCACTTGTTCTGGGTAGAAATACTAGAGGAAGAAAAAAACAGGAATGCAGAATTTTCTTTATATTAACTCTGTCATATATTAATTGAACGAAGAGAGTGTCTCAGGGTAAGAGCTGTTGCAACTTGCAGACAGGTTGTGGTAGCAAGCATTACTTTATCATTCCCTGGAAGCTCTTCGTGTACCTGCACATGCTTTCAGCATAGGGATTTGGATTGAAGAATCCAAATTCTTCAGTTGAGGAATTGGTAAGAATCTCCATCCACTCCCCCTCCTTTTTTTCCATTTCAAAACAAACTCTTTGAGGGCACAGCAGTCCATTTGTGTGAAAATGGCTTTGTGGAGGAATTGGGAGGCAGGATCTGGATCAGTTCCTGCACGAGCTTAGCGATATCCCTGGAAAGTGTCATGATCCGTGTTCGGAGCCCAGGGCCTCGCTTAAGCTAGCGAGGGGAGAACTAATCTCTTGCGCTTTCATTGGCAGCCCTGTCTCATAGACTGATCCTAATGGGGTGGAAATGAGTTCAGCTGCCTAATGCTGTTAAAAACATAGGCTTTTTTTTTTTTTTTGCACATGAATGCTCATCTGCTTCCTTCCAGCCTTGTTGCTAAAGCCATGGCAGTGAAGAATCAAGCCATATTGCCAAAAACAAAATACGCCACCCTTTTTCTTTTTTTTTTTTTCCACTTCAGTTTGTCATCTTTTAAAAATTTCTTTATTCAACAAGAAAGGGCCAGTGCAAGAGGCTTTATTTGCCCAGAAAAACTTGGGGGTCTTGATGCAGACAGCCGAGCCTTACCCTAACTTCTCGGGCATGGCGAAGTTGCTCATTTGCGCCGTGGTTCTGGGTAGCCCTGCAAACACCGATTCACCTGGTGTTCCTGCACCAAACGGGAGGGCTCTGGCACCCGCACGGCTCCTGGCGCCGGTCACAGCCTCATCCCTGAGCTCCCCGTGTGATGAGCTGCGTGGGGCCAGTCTGCACAGTGGAGAGTGCTTAAGGAATGGGAAAAGAAAGCAATAATTCTTAGCAAATAGCTATGCTATTTCCCGTGTCATTGTTTAAACCGCAAAACCCAAAGTCCCTCCAAGTTTATGAAGTGGGTGAAAAACTCTCCCAAGAGAAGTCCCTGCATGAAAAGGGCCCTGTGCTGAGCCCAGACGGGAGGCGGCGGAGCCCTGGGGCTGGCGGCAGGGCCGGCACCTCCTGCTCTGCAGCCCCTGGAGCAGCCCCGGAGCTGGGAGCTCGGAGCTGGGAGCTCGGAGCCGGGAGCAGGGAGCCGGGAGCCCGGAGCTGGGGGCACGCAGCCGGCGGGGGCTGGGAGCCGGGAGCAGGGAGCTCGGAGCTGGGAGCAGGGAGCTCGGAGCAGGGAGCTCGGAGCCGGGAGCTTGGAGCAGGGAGCCGGGAGCTCGGAGTTGGGAGCAGAGAGCTCGGAGCAGGGAGCCGGGAGCAGGGAGCTCGGAGCTGGGAGCAGGGAGCTTGGAGCCGGGAGCTTGGAGCAGGGAGCAGGGAGCGCGGCGCACAGCGGCACTGGGGGGAGGATTGCAGCTGGGAGGAGCAAGTTAGGATCACTTGGAATTGAGTCGTTTTCAGAGCAGGCAATTAATCCAGTTGCATTTAAAAAAGAAAGCTGCTGAGTTTAAAAAGGTGTGTTTAAAAAGAAAGACTCGGAATTATAAGAGGCCTAGAAAGGGGTTTGTTTGGAGCATGAACAGGACTGGACGTAATCCCAATGTTAGGACCTGTGCTCGGGTTATGCTGCCTGTGACAGGAGCTACGTCGTCCCAGTGAGCTTGGGAACGTTGCTGAAGAGCCGGTTTATGTGTCTGCTCCTACGTCACGTCCTGGTGCGATTCCTGGAGAGCGTCTCCATATGGGCAAAAAAAACTCGTGAGAGGGACACGGTCGCTGCTCAGAGAAGCTCTGCTCCTGTCCTTGCCCTCCCAGCGCTTGGAACAGGGAAACCCTAGGCAAGCTACAGAGAAAAATTAGCCCCTTTCTTTTGATTGGAGTTATAAATACAACCACGCCATAGGGAAAGGGCAATTACAAGGCTGAATACAGTGCATTGATCCTGTCCGGAATGAACTTTTACTGCCTCCGATCCCAAAGAGCATGTGTAGCGTTTAGAGATGAACACTGGTGCGAACGCATACGTGGCGTTTAACGGTGCGCGGCGCTGGGGGCATTGCACTGCTGGCTGCAACACGCTGGGGAAGGCAGGCGCGAGCGTGAAAACAGAATTAAACAGCTGATCACGAGTCGCATTTGTAGCCTTTCTAAAAATAAGCTCCTGCAATACCCTGCAACCAGGACGTGGTTGCGGGGATTTGAGAGGCTCCATCTAGGTAAGGGGAAAAGGAAGCCGCATTGACGCAGGGTTAGAGTCTGTCCCTTTTCCATTAGCTGATTTTGCAGCTGCCCTTTTTCTCCCTTGGTCCTTGTTCCCAGGTATTTTACTCATTACGCTTGTCCCTTGTTTGCCAAAACTCACTTATGTGCCTGTGACATACTCTGTTTAGCCCCAAGTAATTATCCAATTCTCGGCCATTGACAACCTTGGGTTTTTTTTCCCTTGAGCACGTACGGCAGAGTGTGAGAGAAGATTCCTTTTGATGTCACAAAGCCAGGGAAGGAGCTAGTCCTGGGCTTATTCAACCTTCACACGTCGGATGGTGCCTGGTGCAAAAGGGAATTGCGGCTCCTTGTGAATCCTGGAAAAACACCCAGCGAGCCCCAAGTGATTTGGGCCGCCTAGCGCATTTCGGGAGCTCCCAGAAACCTTCCGATGGGCCTGCTAGTAGACTGGAAAACCCTCTTTTACATTTTGCAATTTGTTTTTGCCAGACAGACTTCCAAAGTAACCTAAAGAATTTCTTTTTCTTGCAGAATGCAGAGGGATAAAGAGCAAGTGGAGGTATAATGAGAGAAAGCAGCGCTTTTCTCTCCAGCGTTGCTCAGAATAATTCAACAGGCCCATGACTGCATAGAGGAAGCTTCAGTTAAATATTTGCTTAGCTTCTATTTTGATTATCTTATTTATTTTTATGGAAATCATTTTCTTTTTTTTGACAGAAAATACTTAATATATAATTCTAAACATTTCCACTTATTCCACTTGACAAAAACAGCAGCTAACATGCACAAGGAAAGGTAATGAAAATAAATGCACATGCATAATAATTAAATAAATAGTTAAATAGCTTATTTATACATAATAAAACCAACATTTTTTTTAAAGTTGCACTTTTGTTTGCTAAAACCTGAGACATCTACCTGCTTTAATATTCCACTTTCATTAGGATATTTAATTAAGCTTTTGTATTTAATCAAGCAAAAGCTCAGTGAAGTACGTTTTGTTCTCAGCTATGGAATACCACCATTATACAGATCCATGATAGATGTTTTTAATAACACCAGTAATTACCCGTTGTTGTCTTAAATAATTATTTTCTTTAAGTTTGTTAGAGAACCAATAGTTTCAGGGCTAAGAGGAAAAAGATTTCTTTTAACCATTTAATAATAGAATGGGGAGGAAGCCTTTAAACAAGAGGGAACTTGTAACAAATGGGGATTTTGGAAGGAATTTTGTAACATGGGGATTTCATAGCGCGTGGAAAGGTTTGCTGATAGATACGGACCTGCGTGAAGGCCATTTGGGTTGACTGATGGTTGTTTAACAAGGTTTGAGTAAGACAGCAGAGGCTGTTGAACAGTTTTGTAATGGGGTAGGTCCTTTGCTTTGGATTTTTATTTGTTTTTCGATACAGAAATCAAAGATAGATTTGCAGAGGAAGCAAATCTGTATGAAGGAAATACGGAAGAAAATACGCTGACAGAGCTGAAGTGCAGTGAGCAGGTCAAGTCTTTGGAGAGCCCTGGCTCATCCAAGCACCTACTCCATGACCTAACTTATTTCAGCTTTCTTTCATAAGAGCTTCGGCTACGTGCCAGGGCAGCTCTTCATTTCCCAGAGAATGCCCCAAAATGGCCTATTTGAGCTTGTCACTTAATGACACCGATTTCTTTGTGTACGGCTTGGGCTTTGGTTGATTGTAGGTATCTCAACAAACCCTCAGTTTGTTCTGCTCCATTTTATTGTATTAGGCTCCTTCCTCCCTTCTGTTCACTGCTCTCTGTGCAAGTCTTCTCTCAATGCAGGCTCCCCTATAAAATCACCTGCCTGCAGCTCTGTCTGCGCTCTGCCCCGCGGTGCCCAAACTGGTTAGAAAACATAATTTAGATCCAAATGTTAGGGAAATGTTCTTTATGCAGAAAAGGGCGAAGCCAAGAGGCTTTTTCAGTACTGGGAGACTAGTGCAGTCTGTTTAATTGTTTTTTTAATCTGTCATGCCTTAAAAAAACATTTAGGCTGGGTTTATGCTGGGAAGGCTTTGAAATCCAAGGGGCATCATCCGAGGGAGTTGTGGTGCTGACCAAGAAAGGCTCTCGGCGGAAGCCAGGCCGCGCTCCGGGGCCGATGGAGCGGCCGTAGCTCGGCAGCGTTGGCACCGGGGAGGCAGGAGCGTTGAGGAAGCCTCCCTAGAGGCGTTTTGTGAAGAGCAAACACTGCTGAGCTGGCAGCTCTACCCTGAATTGTGCATTGAGGCAGCACCACAGTGCTGGCCTTGCTAGTCTCATCGTGGGTTTTGAGGGTTAATAGGCTTCGTTAGGCTCGTTTCATCCTAAGCAAGATGAAGGTGAGGAGGAGGAGGACGAGAAGGAAGGCGACACAAAGCAGCCTTCAGCTCTGGTCTGAACCCTGGAGTGAAGTTTTTGTTGGATAATGCCTTTGCCTTTTGGACCTTTTGGGTTTCCAACTGCAGCACACAAGCAGAGTCTTTGTAAAACTCATGGGAATCTGCAGAGGAAGGAGGCTGTCACTGACAATTCACCCTCATGAAGGACTTAGATATTCACACCTGAAAATTGTTCACTGTCTCAAGTTATGGTGGGAGTGGATTGTTCCATGCAGTTTGCAAATCTGTGTTTTGTAAATAGAAATGAATTTAAGTATTCTTGTGACCTGTGCAGTGTTTGCACCAAGCTGGTAGCTGGGAGAGCTCCAAATTTGGTCTTACCATCAACTGGCAGTGTGTGCAGGTGTCTCCTGGCCTTCAAGACAGGTCTCTGCATGGGCATCCCACCGTAGAGTTGTCAAATAGACAGTTGGACTGCTTGGTCTACGTCTAACTTCAGAGCAGATAAAAAGAACAGCCTGGCCCTCCTTGAACTCTCGCATGGGTCTGGAAACCTTTTGGTGTCCTAACAGTCACATTCTGTAGAACTTCTCCAGCAGGAACATATATTGAGAAGGTAAAACTGCACATTATTGGATACCCTGATAAAAATTGATGTCTCTAAGCTGCAGGCTTTCATCGGCTTTGCAAGTGAATTACAGGAATTGCAACCACTCTCATTAAACTGCTTCAGTCCTCATACTGGATGAGAAGTAAAAGGACTAATTTTAAAGTAATAAATTTTCCATCTCTTTAGCAGTTACTAGTTCCAGAAATCTCTCAGCCACACTTAAAATGTGTCTGTAACAACAGAATTTTTAGCAGCTCTCTGTGCTGGCTTTGCCATTAAGAGTGAGCAGGCCAGATATATTCTCATTTTCTCAGGCAGCAATGATGTACGGAGCCGCATTATTCCCTGTGTTTGTCTGAAAAGGTTGAAGTTGCAATCTGGGAAAGACTGACACAGAGATCGGACCCTTTCTGCATTAACATTTACCTCCGGAGACTCCGATTCCCTTGTGGGAAGAAAGGAGTCACCGCGGGGGAGGACAGGGCTTCGTCCTGTGCCTCAGAGCTGCGGCCTCTGCTGGCCGTAAAATTCATTTCCGGAGGTTTAATAGAGACCTACCCTGAAATGAGCTGCACAGCTGTAATAGCCTTACAAATAATGGAAAAACATGTCCACTTTCTTTCCCAGCTGGAGAAAATGAGAAGGTATTTCTTGCTAAGCACTTGGTATTATTTGATACAGTCTGCCTAGTAAAAAGAGCTGTGGACCTTGCTGGGCTGCTAGATACTAGTTGGTCTATAAGCTCTGGTGCTATAAGCTCTGGCTCACACATGTTTCCATTCTGTTTTCCTTATCAGAAAGCATCAGTTTAGGCTCTGGGGAAAGCTCGTGCGCCTGTCATGCTCATTTTCCTTCCTTTGAGCATTCTCCGTCTCTGTAACCTACTTTTGGGAGGCAGGATTTCATCAGCGGACAACTGCACCATTAATAAACTCAGCCTCTGCTCTCCACTGGGTCAGGAGACATGGACAACGGAGCCTGCAAGCAATGTGGACATCTGCTGAATGCCAGGGTTTTACTGACAGCAACAATTTCTTGCAATTAGGTTCTGGCAGCAGGTAGTTAACCTGAAGGGCAACGGCTGATTGTCTGTGTTTAACTTTTCTGCTCAACTTTAGCTTTGTATTTAAACCTCAGAGCTTTGCCATCACTTCCTTTCCCCTCTTTTCTTCCCAGCATGGAGGCCTATAAACCAGGGACAACAGTTGTTAATAATCTAAATCAACCTTTGCCTTCCTATGTCTCACCTTGAGCCACAAGACCGCAGCGAACAAAATGAGATCTGTAGCCCTTGATAAGGAAGGAGCAAAAGCATCCCAAAATTGGACGTTTTGCAGAATGCCACTAGCTGGAGACATAGCCCGTGAGCGTTGCAGGTCACGGAGTCAGAAGCGTCTGCGTACGTGGACCAAAGGACCGAGGCCATAGCTGGAGCCCTGTGGGTCACGCTGTCTGGCCGCTTGTCCCTCACAACTTCAGACAGGTTCTTGCCTTGCTAAGGGTTTGCAGCAGCTGCCATGGCCATGCGGCTGGAGTGGTCAGTGGGAAATGCTGTGTTATCCAGTCACAGAATCACAGAATGGTTGAGGTTGGAAGGGACCTCTGGCAATCATCTAGTCCAACCCCGCTGCTCCAGCAGGGACACCAGGAGCACGGGGCACTGGGCGGCATCCAGGCGAGTTTGGAAGATCTCCAGAGAAGGAGACTCCACAACCTCTCTGGGCAGCCTGTTCCAGTGCTCTGGCACCCTCACAGGAAAGAAGCTCTTCCTCACATGGAGATGGAACTTCCTGGGAATCAAATTGTACGCTTTGTCCTATCACTGGCCACCACGGAGGAGAGTTTGGCCCCATCCTCCCTACATTCTCCCCTCAGGTACTTGTACATACTGATCAGATCTCCTCTCAGTCTTCTCTTCTCTAGGCTAAACAGGCCCCGCTCACTTAGTCTTTCCTCATATGACAGATAATTATCTTTGTTGTTCTACGCTGGATGCTCTCTGGAAGCTCCACGTTCCTCTCGTACTGAGGAGCCCAGAACTGCCCCCAATACTCCAGGTGCCTCCCCAGAGCTGAGCAGAGGGGCAGGATCCCCTCCCTCGCCTGCTGGCAACGCTGCTCCTGATGCAGGTCAGGATCCCATGGGCTGTCATTGTCCTTGACTACAATAGGAACTTTAAACATGTATCTAAGAGTCTAGACAGGCTGGAATAATAATGATGCCGTTTGCCCGGCTTCATGATAAGTGGTGGTTGTTTCATGGTTCTTTCCTGTTAGGGATTTCCATGTTTGTTTATTTCCCCCAAGGTCCCAGGACACTTGGAAATTTCAGTTTATGCTGGCTACAGGGATGTCTTAAAATATGCAATTCCAAAGCTTTAAAATTGAGTCAGTCTGTTTCTCTCTTGCTTTGGTAGGGCGTTTTGGTACAGCTTTCATTGAGATATACCGTGGAAGCTTTTCTTCTGAAGCCAAGTGTAAGGTTAATAATTTTCAGGATTCTTGTTGCTTCATTTGAAGCTGTAACTTCAAGAGTAGAGAAGAGGATCAAGTTGTCTAACCTGCAAATATTTACCATTAGTAGAGGCTTATAGCTCAAATACAAACATTTTTATTTTTCTTGCTTGTTTGAGGGAAAATAAGTCATTATCACCTTATGGAAAATGTGACATTCTAGAGCCCCAGGGGTACATATTAACATCGTTTGAGACTAAGATTGAAACAGAAGGATATGTATTTGGAAAGCTAAAATGCATAGGGAATTAAATGGACAAGATAGTAGGACTACTGTCCTTTGAAAAACAACACCACAAAATCTCATCTTTGACAATGAGTAAAAATGGCTCATACTGCAGAGGAAATCAGAGTGGAAAATGCGTTCAAAATTATATGGTCTCAGTTTTCAGTAAAAGGAGATTGCAACTGTGGGAAGGGAGCAAGAGAGAATATAAAACTCCTCAAGTCCTGCTTCGATTTGCTGAGTTAGTTCCAGTCCAGTTTCTTCATTTCTGAAGTTAAAGTTCAAATAGTTTTTGTTTATGTGTTTGTTTATTCCCCCTTTGCTCAAGACTCTTCAGGTTGCAGGTGTATCTGAAAACTACTTCCCATTGCTGCTTCTGCTGTGAACTACAGCATCACGGTCTCTTTCTGGGGACTGAAAAATGTCACGTTTTCAGACTACCGACCTGGGATCGGATAGTTCTCGGAGAACATTTTGTGTTCAGTGATGCAGACTTGTAGTGCAGCAGGGTTGCTATTTTAGCTTCTCACTTTGTGACTCAAACCCACCTGCAGTTAATACACAGGTGATTCTAATGGGAAGACTCAATGGGTGAAAAACAAAGAAGGGCCTCAGGCGATACCTTAGAGCATTTACAGAAAAATTTTGAGTTATAGGTAGAGATCCGATGCAAGCCAGCTTCTGAGACTGCTTGTTGGGGGTGAGAAGGGAAAGCGTGGGCAAGAACATGAGGCAGAAAACGAATAAAATGCAAGTAATCTTTCCTAGGCGTTTTGTCTGTGTTTTGGGCATATGTCTTGATGAGGTTGATGCGGACTCAGAGTCACTGTCTGCACACCAAGGGAGTCAGCACATCTGACATCAATAAACCAACCACCCTCTAATTTCCCAGTCTTCCATAGCATGACTGACTTAAAGAAAATAACTGTAATTTAGAAAACACCATAACGCTGACAAGGGCATTAATTGCCATCTTCAGCTATGGAGTTGTCTTAGCATGGAGGTCTGTGCTGTCTCCCAGCCACGTTCCCGTTGGGGTCTGGAGCCGACTGCTTGGCGCAGCAGAGAGCTAAAGGACATCCTGCACCTTCCTTTATTTTTGGTGTTCTCTCTTTTCAGTGTGTCTTGGAGGGAGGTTTGTGCTTACCCTTGCAGAACCGTTCTCTTGTACCTTGATTACCCCCATGAGTCGTCTGCAAGAACTGTTTTTTCAACAGCTTTACAGAAAATGAATGATTATCACCTCTGCCAAGTAAATATATGTATCTATGTGTTCTTTCTGTTTTTTTTTTCTTTTTTTGACACACGCAGTCCTAAAGAATCTTGTCAAACAGGTTTTTGGATGCTGGGGGAATGGCATGGCTTATTTGGAATAGTACCTGAGTCACAAGCTTTAATATCCCATTAAAAAGTGTGTTCACAGGTGTGTGTAGGAATGCAAATATTTACAGTGGTGTTCATCCCATAGCTGTTTTCCTGTTGTCAGTGTTAAGAGTTTTTTGGAAGTGATATGAAATACATTGGTTATTATAGTGTGTTTTCTGCTGATGCATTAGTTAAAGTCAGTATGGGTGGTACATGCTTTACTTTAAAGAATTACTAGAAGGCTTTTTCTCTGCATTAATTCTCTTTCAAAAATGCATAGCTAGTACTTGGGAGTCTTTGTGATTTCTTTTGTTTCCAATAAAATGTTCTGTTCTTTTCATAGGTTGAAATCATGAGAAACTATGAGAATTGGGTGAAGTACTTTGTGCTTTAAATCAAAAAACACTCTGTGAAATTACATGCTTTCTTATGAGATTGCTTAGGTATCTTTTGAACAAAAAAAAGCTACACGAGTTGAAGAAATGTCAGATGCCAACAAATGATGGCATATGTGATATTACTACCGTGAGACATATCTCAAACACTTTCTGATTTTGCTCTCTCATTCTTCATATTCGCATGTCTAGCAGCATTTGTATTTTATGTAAAGGACAGAGTCTGCAGTCAGAGCATTTGATTTATGCTGTTAAAAATAAATTAAGGAACAGCGGGTGAAAGTGATTCCTGCACATGAATATTCAAACTTTACCTCAGTCTTTCCTGTCAAAAGAATAAAGAGTAATAAAACTTTGCTGGGGCCAGGGCATCAATATGATGTCATGTGAAAGCTTTACTGGTGTGTGCCTGAGATGACTCAGAAAACTTTCTCATATTCCCCCTGCCAAAACAGCCAGGATTCCTCCTGAGAGTAGCACTGGGAGGGCAGAAAGAAGATCTCATCTTCATGCTTATATTTGTACTTTAAGGTCTCAGAAGAACGAGTTAGGGTTGGCAGGAGGCTCTAAGAGTTATGAAGCTAAATTAGAAGTTGAGACACATCAATTCATTCCCGCGTCACTGATTTCTTATATAATTGCATTGCTTAAGGCCTTACCAAGGTGCTGAGGCACTTCAGGTGGACCGTAAGGGTTTTTTTTTTTTTGTATTTTGTTATTAAGAAGGAAGAAGGAGCAATTCCCCACTGCTTTCAGGATGGGAACTGCAGGATCTCGTGTGTGGACCAGGAGTGTAGCTTCCGTTCAGGGCCCTGTGGTAGGGGCTTTTCAATGAAAATACAGGATACGCTTGTGGATGTGACATGGATTGCCCATGTCTTTGTTCTGGTCTCTAAAAGGTGAATCATATCCATGGATTCCTTTTCATCCGAGGGAACATCTAGGAGTGCCGTTAACGGGCAGGTGACTTCCATTAAGGTTTTCTCTTCTTTCCCCATCTGCTTTCTTCACAGACCCGGTCCATGGGCCGCAGAACGTAGAAGTTGTCGATATCCGTTCACGGCAGCTGACCCTGCAGTGGGAGCCCTTCGGCTACGCCGTCACCCGCTGCCACAGCTACAATCTCACCGTCCAGTACCAGTACGTGTTCAACCAGCAGAAGTTTGAAGCGGAGGAGCTCATCCAAACCTCCTCGCACTACACCTTGCGAGGCCTGCGGCCCTTCATGACCATCAGGCTGAGGTTAGCCCTCTCCAACCCCGAGGGCAAAATGGAGAGCGAGGAGCTGGTCGTGCAGACTGAGGAGGACGGTAAGTGGTGTTGGCTTACTTGGGTTTTGGGACAGCTGCCCAGCAGGGTAGCCACAGGGCACAGCAGGTTTAATTCTATAGAGGCCACTTTCTGAACTCCAGCAGGCCTTCAGAGCGACATCCTTTCTCAAACAGGCAAATACAATTCTGCCATTTGGTGATTTTCCTTTCGCTTCACTTTACTGCCCATGAAAGCTGTATGATGTCTTCCTTTTCAGCCTGTATCACTTCTTAATGCCAGGCTTCTAGACGTAAGATTTGATGCCAATTCTTTGGGTGCTAACTCTTCCCTTGGTGATACAAAAGAGCAGTTTTCAGGAAGTACAGATGCTCTAAGTATCGTTTTTCCTGTCTTTGCTAGCTCAGGCCAAGGACTCACCTAGCCCAGCAGCCCCCGTTTTCTCTAATTCATTAAAAATAAAATGTTCTTCCACTGCCAGAGCTGTTAGGAGGCGCTGCCCAAAGCTAAAAGTGGTTCCAGTATATCATGGAGGGCATGTGAGAAGATGGCAAATCTTTCAGGAAAAATGAACAGGGCTTTTCATCAGGCCGGCTTGAGAATGCGTCTAGTTATCTCTCACAGCATTAACATTTTGCTTGGCTATGTGGATTTTTTGCTGGCCTTGTAGCCATAATGAAATATAAATCTTACATTGTTACTCTACTAAGGAAATCAACCTTTCATATTGATAAAGGGGTGCAGGCCAATAGCATTTTTACACCAAGGTGCAATCTGGCTGTTTAGATACGTGGAGTTTTATTGTTGTGCGCGTGAACAAGGACACATTAAATCCCCTATGGAATGCAACTATCTTTTGACATTGCAACTAGAATGTGTGGTAATTCTGTACTCAAAACCTCTCTGCTTACTGTATCTTTAGCAGGTGGGTAAATGAACAAGTCAGCTTGTAAGCAAAATGCAAATGCCTGGTCCTGCAGCCCTACTAATTAGGGGAGAACACTTTGCCCTTGGCGGGCATCGTTCCCATCCTGGCTGCTGCTTTGTGTGACGCCTTGATGTGTTACATGTTACATGCCCGTCTGTAATGGCCCCAGATATAGAACATGAGCCAAGATGGTAGTCATGGAAGAACTGGAATTACTCCTTTAAACTAATCGCTGAAGGAGGCTATGCTGGCTAGATGTTTACACACCTCCACGGGTGTCTTTTTGCTAAAGGAGGCATCCTGCTTCCCTGTGGGTTCCTGTTCTGCCAAGTGTGTGGGAGAAGTAGTTTGTGGCTGTGGGAGACTGGTTGGTTTGATAATCCACAAAATTATTGACTGTTTCCTGGAGGGAACACAGCTCTATTGGAAATACCTCTGGATTGTTCCAGAAGGGTTTGGAGGACAGGGAAGGGATTAAAGCAAGATCTGCTGTAACTTCACCTCTGCCTTGGCTTCTAGAAGTTCAGCTAAACACTCAGAGAATTTAGGAGTCATCACAGGTATGTTTATTTGGTGACAGAGCCACACCTGTCCTAATGAGTGGCCAGACCTGTAATAGGAAGCTCCTGGGCCGAGCGTATGTGATGCAGTGAATGTGAAGGAATCTAGCTCAGGCTCAAATACAAATGATGAGGTATTTCAACAACGAGAAGGTCATACTGAAGCTGAGTAAATAGTGTGCAATGCCACCACTCCTTTCCATTGCAAGGATCATCCTAGGTTATGTTCCCAGGTCTCCAACTGACCAGGCTTTAGGAAAAACAGTCCAGAGCAGTCTAGGCAGAGCTCTGCAGAACAAGTCCGTGAATGTTACTGGAGATCTAGTTGTCCAGAGTTAGCCAAGTTGGCTCTGCATCGTGCTGCATTTTGCTGTTTGGACATACCCTGAGGTTTTCCAGTAGTGTAACAGCGTGTGGAAGCGGGATTGGCATCTTCGTGCATTGGGACTTCTCTTTGGGAAGTGCAAATAATACTGCTTAAATCACCTTCAGGTTATAAATCTTTACGTACAGAATGTTAATTACTGTTATTTGCACTTGTGTAAATATCTATATTTGAGGCTATGTTAAATTGGGCTCTTTTTTGAAGTTTGTGTTTGAAAGATACATATTTGGCACTTATTTAAATAGAAGGGAAAACAAGAAAAAAATGCATAGAGCAATGGAATATTGATGTTTGAAAGTAATAAGTTCAATGCATAACTTAGCATAAAATTAAGTTGTTACTGTGTGATATTTTATGGGATAAGGAAACATAAATTTATGTCTTCATATGAGGAAAAAATTTTCTGGTAACTGACTGGATAAACTCATGTAAATTTACCTTTGTTCTTTGGTTCCATGTTAGGTACTGAATGATCTATTGCTTCTATGCTGTACTGCAATAAAGGCATATTGATGATAATGTCATTTCTTCATGTATTATGATTTTATTTATGGCCTAGAGCCTGCATTAGGGTTATTTGAACCAAGGTTGAGAATAGCCCAAAGGCAGCGATCGGGGGTTTTGAGTTTCCTTCCTTTTCCCCTGAGCTCTGCACATGTGGTTGGGTGGAATCTTGGTATGTCCTCATGTGTGTGGCATCTCCAGCTGGTGGTAGCTTCTTACATCTTTTTTAAAAATTTGTCTAGTTCCTGGACCAGTTCCCTTGGAATCCATCCAGGGAGGCCCTTTCGAAGAGAAGATCTATGTTCAGTGGAAGCCTCCAAATGAGACAAATGGCATCATTACACTCTATGAGGTAAGGAGACCAGATTGCTGTCAAGGAATAAATGCCATGGGGCCTCTTTCATATGTGCTCAAGCCAATCCTGAGCTCTGAGATATTTCAGCAGGTGCTGAAAGAAGTCTGATCAAAATAGATGAGAATTTTCAAGGTAGTTTGATGCTGCCATTGAAAATGTTTTCCAGGTTGGAGAGAGGAAAAAAGAAAATAAGTCGTTACATGTGTTTATGGGAAACAAGGGTCATATATTCTCCCATGTCTTAGGTGTTTAAATGCTGCCTTTTTTCTTCTACGATGTTTGCTAGATCTTTTTCTTCACTTTCTGTTTCTTGAGGTATACTTCTGCTAAGTTTTTATACCATCTTAAAATACTGCAACCAACTGCTCTCTGGCTTCCTAGTAGTCATACCATTTTCCAGACACTCTCAACAGAATGCAGTCATTAGGTTTTATCCTATATTTGTTCCTCTGAATACATATGTTCTTCTTTAATCTTTCAGTAATACAGATTTCTATCAGCCACCCCCTCAAACAAAATATAAAGCTGGTTGTAGATGTTTATAATGCACCTATTACATGATACATGCTAATATAGCATGAATATAAAGCTATAGAAAGATGGCCTATGGCCACTGCATTCAGGATGGAAAAAATGAAGCATGATTCTAGGGTGCATCAGAGGAAATATTTCTAGCTGAGATGCAGGAATGGTAATGTAGTTCTGGAGAGACTGTCACGTATGCCTGCATGTGAGGAAAAAAAGAAATTTAAAGAAAGGACTGCTGAGGGGATCATGGAAAATGAGGAAGTGTCCAACAGAAGAAGATATAGACAAGTTTATTAAACAGTGCGGAGTGGTGCAGACAGTCCGAGCTGGTGCTGCCTGAGCACGCTGCCGGTAAGAGATTCAAAACATTGCTTTATGGTGTAATACAAATCCTTGCTGCAGCTTCATGCAGAGTGGTGTCCTAAGGAGGGGCAAGAGCCACTTGCCTGCTTTCTCTTTTATGCTGGAAGAATGAACAAGCTTATTTTGAAAGTCATGGTTATGAGAAGTGAACTGGAGCCTGAAAACAAGGTTCCAGGCGCGCTTTCCTCCTCCTGATCTTCTCAACTTTGGAACAGCAAGGCATCATGCAATATGTTACTCCTAGAACTGCTTGCTCTCACTGGACCACATTATGTGTGTGTAATACAGTGTTTGTCCAGTGTAACAAATCAACCAAGTTTAATGTTGAGCAACTTGCAGCTCAAGCAAGAGATGGCAGTTTTTCCTCTTGGGCTTAAAAGTAACTCCATTTTTAGGTCCTCTGTTCAGCTGGTTTGCAGAGGGTACACTGAATTTGATACAGTAAAGCTAAATAAATAGAAGTTCCTCATGCTAATTCTGTGTAATTTCAGCCAGGAAAAGTCTTTGACTAAAGTAAGCAGTCATGTTTTGTTGGTCACAGCTGAGATATCTGTTGAAGTCTATGTAGGTTGCATATGACCTGTCTGTTATATTGGAACTAGAGCTACTTCTCCATTTCCATGTTTCTAGAGATCCACCACAGGCTATCCTCTGTATATGGGTAAGGAATTCTACAAGAAAGTTATCTGTATTTTTTAAGGAATTGATTTGAATAGAATCAGTTGCAAATTCGTTATTGTTCTGGCATCAGCAATGACCGATAATAGAACACATTTAGAAATATTCCAAGTCAAATGATGCAAAAATAACTTCTTTTAATTTTTAAAGAGTCAGTTTCCTGCTAAAATATTGCCTTGGGCTGAGCTCATTGAAAGGACGTGAGTAATCTGAGTAGCTTTTCTGGATGAGCAGCTGCATAGAGATACTTTAATGCCTGCAGGGTAGTGATGCATCATGACAGTGCCTCTGCCCCTCAAGTCACATCATTGCTTGGGTCTCAGTGGAGACACACACAAAATATTCCATTTCTGCTAGTGACTCTACACATGTATGACAGCTGAAGACAAAGAGAAGTCAAGGTGAATGAATTCCAGCTCTTCTTCCTTTTCATCCTCCCCCTCAGCTCCAGAAAGATGAAAATCTAAGTGTTAAAAACATCAGGAGAAATGAAGTGCCTGAAGGTCGACACGAACAGAAACTCTTTCCTCTCCTCTCTCTTCTTGCAGGGGGTAGTCACTAAGTGCAGTCCCACACTCTGAGACAAGTGTTCATCAGCTGAGATGAAAGTACAGATGACCAGTTTCGTACAGCTTGGAGAGGCGGCCAGAGCGCTCTTTAGGTAGTTGTCAGGCTGCTCAAGTCCCTATCACATCCAGCAGTATGAGTGTTTATTCTTGATATCAGGAGATTCTGTTTCTGATACTCCTCAGTAAATAAAACACAGGTTGCAGAAGCATCTTAGCCTGCTACCTGAAACTGAAGTGTAATCTTCCTTAAAATACCGAAAAACTTATTGTATTGCCCAGGTGATGGATAGATGCTTATTACCTGCAAGTTCGTATTGGTATTATTTTAGGATTTCATGCCATGTGTATAGGAGTGAAATAATTCTTCAGCAGTAGTGACCTCCAATGTGTTGTTTGAGATGAGATTCCAGCATTATTCAGTATTGCTGTGATCTTGTCCTGCTTTAACAGGGTTCAGCTGGCCTGTTGGTTGCAGAGGAAGAAAACAAGTTGTACGTAGTTGGTGATAAGTTTTCAGTTCTTTGAGACGTCAGTGGTCTGCGGCACAAACGGTTAGGAAGAGAAGCCTTTAACAGCACCAAAAAGGTCAAAACTGCAACCCTAAACTATATGAACCTGCATAGCACATAAATATGAAGTATCTATAGGGAACACTCATTCTGAAAACAACACCCGCAGTGCCAATCTTTCACCAACAAGACCGGGGGACTCAGTTGATATACTAGCAAATTTGCAGCTATCTAGACACTTCACAACTGTCTTTATGGAGGAAAAACAAATCCCAAGCACCTGCCAAAACTTAAGGAAAAATCCCTTCCAAAGTATAGGTCAAGAAACATCACTTTATGAACGTGGGTTAGAGATGTCAAGATCTGCATTATGCTGGAAAGTAAATGACTAGATCAACATAGAGGTGTCTTACAGATAACTCTCATACTCCCTTATGCACAAATACTCTTAAGAAAAGCTCCTCCTTTGCCCAGATAGGTAATACTTCCTTACCATTACCAGCCAGCTTTATTACTGTATGTAGGTATTTTCTCTCTAATTTTGTTAAAGTTATTGTCTGCAGGCTTCCAAATGCTTCCAAATAAGCACACTGCCTATTCCACTTACATCCTGCTTGCTTTTCTTTGGGACAGAATTTCCCCTAGGATCTCTAGTTATTCTTGCAGCTCCTTGGCAGAGAGACTTCCATATCACACAAATTGCCATTGCAATTGGCATGTGCCCCAGTTATTTGCCAACTGGGCTGAAATTCAGTAGCACAATCTTCAGCAAGTAATTTGGCAGCCAGCATCACTAAGTTCATCACGGCTGAATACCTCCAAAGAGCATAAACAAAATCAAAGGACCTTAATGAACCTTTTTGACTTATGCAGAGCTCCTCTGATGGACATTTACCCCACACACGGCTTTTGTAGTGTCTTAAAAGACATATCTACAGCCTTGCATTTAAGGCCAGCTAACCTCCACCCCTGCATTCAGCTACAGAACTAAGTGTCTTGCTAGATATGGTCAGATGGATTTGGAGAGAAAGAAATCTTCTGGATCATGAGGTTAGCAGGTAATTGCTCTCTTTTTCCAGAGAGCAAAAACCTCTTGTTCAAGGAGCCTTGGCAAGCCCCAAGAATTGAAAGTCTGTTAATCAGCACGCTGGAAAGATTGGGATACGAGCTACGCAGAAAGTGAGGGATGCTCAGGGGAGCGCAGGGAAGCAGCTCCTGTAACGGGGAGGTGCCGGGTTAACAGGTGTCAGTTTGTCTGTGCAGTCCTATGAGCCCAGAGGGAGGGATGCTGCAGGCTGTTGCAGGTAAGCCGTGCACCAGGGATAAAACTAAAGCTAAAGGCGAGTCTACGGGTAGGTTGAAAGTGCATCAGAACTTACATGAGGCAGGTAGATCAAGCTGCATTCAAAACCACAGGTAAACAGTCTTTTCTAGTACAGTGGCTTGGTTAGACTGCCCTATATAGATAATTTTGCATGTGACATTCAGGAAAAAAGGCCTTATATCGTCTGTCTGCTAACTGGCTGCAAGTGGCAGAATTGAATAATACTGGAATAAATCCAGCACCACATTCTCTCTCCTGCCAAACTCAAAGAACCACAACTTGTTTCATGCCTTTTACCCATCGTGTAAAAGCTGCTATGCTTTAAAATCCCTAATAATTAAATGATGCTTAGTGTGCTTGTACTGTGTGGCAGTTCACCCTGTGTGTACAAAGATAAGCGAATAATTTTTTTCATCCCAAGTGCATGTGAAGTCAGTCCAGCATCAAACAGTAGGAAGATCCATGCTGTTATTGAAGGCACATGCAGGCTAATTCAAGGTCACCAATCGGCTTTTGCAATTAAGTTGTTCTGCTTGTAGATCAGGTGAGGTTGGCTCAGATGCTTGTTCCCCAGTTCAGATGGAAGTGCTTCATATGCACATATGGATCCAGGTATTTCATGCAAACTTGTATTTAATTTGGAAAATGTAAATAGAAATAATCCTGCATATCTGCATTTTACTGACCATTTTTGGCAGCTGGAAGGTTACTGGTGTACAGTAGAATGTTGGTTTTTGCCCTTGTAAATATATTCTATGTAATCTCTTTCTCAGAATTGTCAATTTTTACAACATTTCTTCCTTAAAGGGAAAGAAAGAAAAAAAAATGCCGCAGTCCTGTCTAAAGTATTTGTCATGTTACTTGAGGGGAAGGCATCATTAGGACACATTACAGTCCTGAAATCATTTAAAGAGTAACTACAGGATATTCAGCTCCTTGGTTGGAAAAATGACTCTCGTGCTGGGGAAGTCCTTGCAATGAGCCATGCCTAAAGGCAGCGTTTCAATGGCAAACGGTCTTTTTAAA